CGCTTAAACAGATGCTGTTAGTGGTTGTATTTCAAAAGTCAATGGGGCTAAATAAATCTAAAATTTACTTCTACTAAAAGTGTTATGAGGCCAAGGTCTTTTTATTCTTTAGGTGTTCAATTAAGCAAAAATCCAAAGATATGCTGGAGAATTTAAGACTGCCATGAACAGGAAAGCTTTTTAGTTAAGCTTTCATCTCTTCATGTGAAGAACTAAATTGATGATTTTTAAATAATTTACATCCCAGAAGTAGTGTTAAAAAATGTCCCAAATGGAGCTAAAAGCATCGTAAATATAATTTCCTGTCAGATTATATGAAATACCCTGATAAATGATCAGCTCTTAAAAGGACACTAACAGTGGACTTGGAAGGTCTGACTCCAGCTTTCTGAAAATGCCAGCTCTGAGCAGCTGCCGTTTGACTTCAGCTCTGTGTGCCCTGAGCAAGCCAGGAGACACAGAAGTATGAGTGTGCACTTTTTTCCTTTCTCTGACTTATTACATCAATGCTTATGTTTTGAAGAGCCTTATCCATCTAAGAAAAAAAGGGAAACTAGTCATCAACCCAGAACTTGGGGAAGGGGAGAGAGACATGACTGTTTATCTGCTCAATAAGGATCCTTTTGAACACATCACCAGCTGCCAACAAATGCAAATGTCTTTTATTTTCCTTTCAGTGAGTGCATGTGGGAGGGGAGGAGAGAGAGGAGGGAGTCTGTGTTAGCTCTGCTGTTACACTGCTGAATTAAGACAGCCACCTACCCATCATCTACTTCCAAATCCCTCTTGATTTTCAGACACATCTGACATTTCACAGCCTTCTGTTGCCCATCCTGTTTAAATATTAATGCATCCAAAGGTTCAGATGACTGCAGCCATCCAGAACAGAGAATCAGAAATTAAAAGCAAACAGGCAGAACAAAGCCCGGTAACGAGTGCGTGGTTCTGAACTTGCTGGGAAGGCTGAGATGAGCATACAGTCAGCTTGAGCTGTGAGTCATCCTTTCTTGTTATTAATGCAGTATTTATCAGCACTCACTCCTTTCCTCATGATTTCTGCCAGCTCTGTTTTCACACCACGTTCATCACCACAGCTTTCCTGTTTCTGTGCCCAGCAGCCCAGCTCGTGTTCTCAGGCTCTGTCCGTGTCCCGCACTCCCATTGTGTCAGCAGCCCTTTCTCTGGGTGTTGTACTTCTTTTGCAGTGTTTGTTTTCTATGTGATGGGGCAGCAGTGGTGAAATAAAAAGTGACAGCCTGCGCTGAGTGTTGTTATGACGCCGTCATTTCCATTCTCAAGCAGATGGAGCCGGCACGGACTGAGCAGCTCTCTGGACCCTAAATGGCTTCAGCACGATGGCTGACCTGAGCTCGGAGCCCAAGACGTGGCACTGACCCTCAGAGCACAAGGGATGATCTCACTTGTCCTTCTGCTGCCACTGGCCTGGTCAGAGGCCGGGGTACAGCTGGACAGGGCTGGAGCATCTCTGCTCAGGAGCCCTCTCAGGCACTGCTCACAGTGCTGCTGCTCCTGCACGTCCTGGCAAGCTGCACTGTCCTGGGCACAAGGAATGACCGTGGGCTCTTCCTCCAGCCTCCAGACCACCAGCACTGAATCTGCACCAAGAACCTGACCTGTCCCCATGGTCACACATGGACAGGGACAGCAAGGCCTGAGAAGCACACGACATGTCCAACGGGGAGCTGAGAACAGACACCAAACACTTCCATGACACAGTCCCACCTTCCATGCTGACCTGTCAGCCATGGAGAGAGAGAAAGATAGAACTCTTGGAAGATGAAAACCATGCTCAGGAAAGAGAAGATGCCAAATGCAGACGTTGTGGGAAGTGCTCAATGTTTCCTTCCATTCGGCCTGAAAGTCAGAAATTACAACGGCTGAACCCTAAGGAGAGGAGGATGAAAGGGCTTCGCTCCTGGGCATGTGACACTGCCCCCCTTTGTGGTACCAGATGCGGGGAAAGAGGAGAGAAGAAAAGCAAATCTGGAGCTGAAAGGCTCTTTTTTCCCCTCTTTTTAAAGAAAGAACAAAATTAAAACGATCCTGAAAGAACAACTCTTCCTTTCAAAGACATTAGTTTGGGAAGCTGGCTGTAAAAGGGTACATTTTTGAAATGTGGCTGCAGTTACCAAGCAACCTGCTCTGCTGGCAGCAGCGCGTCCGAATTCGGGGGAGGCAGAGCCCATGGCTCTGCCCTCCCAGGACAGCGAGGGCAGGCCTGGACAGCTGGCACACCACGGTGTGTGGAGCCAGCACCCTCCACCCTGAGTGGCCTCCAGAGCTAGCCGGGCCTTTGGAAGAAGTGAGGATGGCAAAACAATTGAGACATTGCACGGACAGAGGATGGAGGAACAAGGAGAAGAGGAAAATCTGAAATCAGCCCAGTAGCTGCAGCAGAAGAGCTCTGGGTTTATGCGAGCACAACTATAAGCATAATTTGATGTATATTAGTAAAACTAAGACAAACAGCAAACAAAATTCTCAATTAACATTCACAGTTCTCATATGCATTGGACACAGTGCAGTGCTTTGCAGGATTTTCTATAGCCCAGGGATCTAACAGTGGAAAGAAGAAAACAGATGCCCGGGGACCCAACTTTCCAGGCTGAAAAACCCCAACTCTGCCTGTGTCCAGAGCTTCACCAGAGCTTTCATTCCATTAAATCCACACAAGGATATCATTACACTTTTCTAATAATGAACTGTTTTGTTACATCCACTACTGTTCTAAATGGGAATTAGGCACAACGTGCACTTAATTTAGGTTATGAGTTGAGCTGGAAAAAAATCTAAGCATATTTCCAAGACAAAGAGCTGAGATGTTTTATTTCCCCCCATTTGGTGAAGAGAACTGACCCCAAAACTTCACAACTTCACACTGTCCCCAATGTTTCCTGGCAGCCTCTGCCCCCAAAATGTCCTGAGCTGCCTGGTTCTGAGGGCTGGGTTCAAACCCCTTGGCTCAAAACATTAACAGAAAGACTGTGGTTAAATGTTGTTTGAGACACCTGAGGATGCTAATAAACAAACTGGCATTAGAGGGGGTTCAATGCATCGGGGCTCTGGTTTTACAGACCCCACCAGTTTGTCTGGGCTTCACCTGTGTTTAGAAACTGAGGCAGAGCAGCTGTGAGACCCCCAAACAACAGCGCTTGTTTTCATGCCAAACGTGTGCCAACAGCTCACATGTCAAAGTGACAGCAGGTCCCCGGGATGCTGCTGTCACCCTGCAGCTCTCCCTGGTGCTCTCAGTGCAGACCCTGCCAGCTGTCCCTCCTGCAGCCAGGGTCCCTTCCTGCCACACCTCTGCTGCCCACGCACGTGCTGTGGGCCACGCCAGGACTGTGGTACATTCTCAGCATCGTTTTTGTCACTGAGAATGCTGACTGCATTTTCTGCCACTGCTTCACCTGGGCACAGTCCTGCAATTCTATTGATTTAGGCCCCAACCCAGCACATTTAAAAATGTCATTACATTTAACATTTGATTAATTTAATTTCAGTGAAACTAAATTAATTTCAGAATTTTACAGCCTTAAAGCTGTACACCCACATGAAGGTTGGATGGGTTGCAATCTAACAGATGCACAACTTGTTGGGGTTGAGAATAGACCTTCACCCATTAGCATTTTAAAATTTGAATGTTACACTGCTAAGCCTCAGGGTTTTCCGTTTATCAGAATTCACCAAATCACTGCAGAATTGCAGCCCTGTCAGTCCATCAGGTCCCAGAGAACACTGGCTATGAGCAAAAGCACTTCAGTTGTTCATGTTGAGCTTAACAACCAGGTTCCTCTTCTCCAATGCCACGTGGAGATGGGAAAGCCAATGTCATTTAAGTAGTGCCAGCATCCCATTGTGGGGCTCAGACCCCACTCTTGGGGTGCAGTGCATGGAGAGATGCACACCCCTGCATCACTCAAGTCCATGGGACCTGTCAGAGCATGAAGCAATGTGCAGCATACTGAGAGGAAACAGGATCAGTCCCCACGTGGCATCCCAACTCCCTCTTTCCTCCCACATCCACAAAGCCAGGCATGTGTTGGGTCTGATGTTTCTGACCCACGCTCTGTGGCACAGAGAAGAACCAAGGGTCGCTCCCATAACCACATTCTGTTTTGACTCCAAGAGATGGATCTCCACAGGTTTCATTAAACATGTGTAGACCATAGGATATTTCAAAACCCTCGGCAGGGGTACAGCCAGCCCCCATTTAAATGCAGGTGCTTTAAGAATAATTATCAGTTGCTCAATCTCCATGTGAAGCAGCAGCAGGACGGAGCTGGAACCTGCAGGGAAGGTGGCAGTGCAGGCAATCCTGAGGATACCAGCAACTGCCTTTCAGCTCTCACATTTATAAATAATTTATTTCCAGCCACCTGTGACCAGAATAACAATTTTCAGCCCGAAATCTCCAAGCTGGTGCTGGGAGGCCGTCAGGGGCTCGCTTTCCCGGGACCGTCTGGACCTGTTGGGAAGGGGTCCGGGTCTCCAGAGGGGCAGCTCTGAAGGGATGTGCCCCTAGCGGGAAGAGGCACGAGAAACAAACACGGAGCATCCGTTCAGCTGATCGCATTAGGGCTTCTCGCTGCTGCTGCTGCCACTCAGCTCTCTGCCAATGCAGCCATCCGTGCGTTTGGACAAACACCCAGGCAGAGGGAATGGGTAGGTCTGGAAACGTCGGCAGCTGCAGAAGGCTGCAGAGCTCTGCCGTGAAGCTGCCTTAGAGGAGAGGCTGCTTCCCCGGGCAGGGCAGCGTTATGAAACACGAGCGCCCTGGCTGGGCTTGAGGATTTTGGCAGCGCGGCGCGGCCGCTGCTCCCATCCTGCCTGGTGGCGCAGGAAGCCATGGAGCGGCTCCCCCCGGCCGGGCCCCGCAGGGCGCAGGACCCCGGCGCCCCGGCCCGGTGAGCCGCAGGGACCCCGAGAGCGGCAGGGACCCCGAGAGCCGCAGGGAGCCCGAGAGCCGCAGGGAGCCGGAGAGCGGCAGGGACCCCGAGAGCCGCAGGGAGCCCTGGAGGGACGCGGCGGCAGGGGTGAGCGGGGCTCGGGGCGCGGTGCGCGGGGCGCGGGTCTCGGGGCGCGGTGCACGGTGAGCGGCGAACGGTGCGCGGTGAGCGGGGCGCGGGGCACAGGGCACGGTGAACGGGGCTCGGGGCGCGGTGCGCGGGGCGCGGGTCTCGGGGCGCGGTGCACGGTGAGCGGCGAACGGTGCGCGGTGAGCGGGGCGCGGGGCACAGGGCACGGTGAACGGGGCTCGGGGCGCGGTGCGCGGGGCGCGGGTCTCGGGGCGCGGGGCGCGGTGAGCGGCGAGCGGGGAGCGGTGAGCGGGGCGCGGTGAGCGGGGCGCGGTGCACGGTGAGCGGGGCGCGGTGAGCGGTGCGCGGTGCACGGTGAGCGGTGAGCGGGGCGCGGGGCGCGCAGCGGGGCCGGGCGAGCTCCCGGCGGGGCGCGGGGGCAGCGGAGCCGCAGACCCGCACGGCTCCGCGCGTTCCGGGATTACCGCTCTGCGCGTGCGAGCCGAGGCAGCGGCAGGATTAGTAGGGAAGGGCAGAGGGAGCAGGATTTATCAGCTTTTCCGATATGCATTACGGCCTTTTGTAATGTTCCACTGGATTGCACGGGACTTTGGCTGGCTGCAACAGGGGCTGCTCAGCCACAAAAGAAAGGTGAGGCTTTTCCTCTTTTTCTTACACCGTTCAGTATCTGCCTCTGCGAGCCGTGTGCCAGCTGGCCTGGGCACGAGCAATAACCGGACAACTTTTTCGAGACTGAGGCATCAGCATTCATTGCAGTCTCAATGACTATTTGTTTTACTAAATTAATGCACAGCGTCTAAGTAAAGGGGCTGAGCAGCATTATTTACAAAGACTGCAGGTTGCTCTCGAGATGCCCTTCCCCAAGCATCCATGGAACATTATACTTGAAAAGTCAGCAATGGATACTGCAAGTGTGTGTGTGTCAGAGCCTAGTGAGGCAGGCTGGAATGCTCAGCTTCTCCCATCAGTTTCTGGAGCATCACCGTGCTGAATAAATAGACTGTCAATGTTTAGTAGGTGAATGTTGCAGGAATTCAGATACTGAAGGGTTTATGAAAGACAGTTCTAAAACACCTATGATTAAGTTACAGAGCTGTGCGTTCTTTTAATTCTAGTAGATTTCCTTGCACACAGGGAAAGATCTCATCTGTAGATCCTGTGGGCTGAGGCAAACATAAATATATGGTACATTTGTTACAACATTCTTGTGCAAAACTTCAGCCACACACCACATAGCAGCTTTTGGAAACTGCAGATAGAGCATCATTTGCTGGGTGGTTGATCTCTTAATACCTAAGAACATACATCATGCATGAATGTTTTATTGCTAATTAAATACTTTTGAGATACAGTAACAGTTTGCTGAAAGCTTTCAGTTTATCAGAGAATGGTGACAGCAGACTGTATGTTACCTCTGGAGCACACATCACTGTTTACAGGATGCACACACAGGGATGTGGACGCACATGTACACCTGAAGTGTGGGTATGCATGTGTCTGCACGCATCTCTTCCACACTGGCATGGAATCAGTCCTACTGATTACTGCATTTTGACTTGAGCTAGGTAAAAAGTGTGGGATTAATGGGGAAATACCATGGTGTGATCTCTGCTCATGCTGTCCCTGAGCACTTTCCAAGTCAGCACTCTCACAATAAGCCTTGCAGGACCATCTGCCTCCCACAGGCTTCTCTGCATCCCTCACCTCAGGCTCACCAACAACATTATTGTCTGGATTTATACCTATGTATGCTAAAAAATTGGTCTTAAAAAGCCAAATATCTGGTGAAAGAGCCACTGGGACAGGGTTTGCACAAGTTAGTGCCAACTTCTCCAGCCTCAGCTGCAGCTCTGCTGTGTGGCATTGCCTTTCCCTTCCAAAGCTGAATTATCTGTCTCTGTAAAACGCCTCCTGTCTTGAATAAACAGGGCATAATATATATTTTAAATTTGTGTTACTTTCAACTTGATTTGACCAGTAAATGGACTATAGAGTTTTTCTTCATCTTTCTGCTAGCTCCACATAAAGATTTTTTCTTGTTTATCACAGTTCAGTGTTATTTAAAGGTTTTAACACAATCTCACCATCAAAGATAACTTTGCAATCTGATTACATCTTGTAGCAAGCCCACGTGTAGCAAGCAATGGTAAACTCACTGGAGAGCCCTCTCAAGCTGCAAGACTTTTCACCACATCATGTGGAGAAATTTGGGGGCTTCTACCTAATTTCCAGCTTATTGGCAGACCTCCCTTGCTGGGAGACCTGTGGGGTCAGCACAGACACATCCTCTAGCAAGGAAAACTTTGTAATTTGTAAGAAGTGCTTGAAGTTTCTCAGAATGATTGGAATAAAGGGAACTGCAAATAGTTGACAGGATCCCAACATCAAATCTGTGGCTTCGTAAGAGTTTTACTTCCTATGTGCATTCACATAATTTTATATTTGTCTTGATTTTCCAAAACACTGAGAAAATGGCAGTGTGTATCCAAGGAAAAGGCTGCAAGACAGAATCCTTCAGCCGAGGCCTGACTGCATTTGTCTTCAAAGAAAGCTGACAAAAGAAAGGAGAGACATGGAAGAGGGATGGATTTTTCTAAAAATAGTAATCATGAGTCCAATTCCCTTCAGTTTACAACAGGAAACATCATCTTGCTTCCTTGCCAACAACTCTGAATTTGCAAAATCCTGCTGGTCTTTAGACAAGGACCAACTCTTGATGACCTGCAGCTGTCAGTGCAGCACTGACCCGAGCTTCTGCACTGAGCACACATCAAGGGACAGTCCTCAGTTAAGCAGCCCTTCACCTGCGAGTCTGGGGCTGTTTTTCAGTGTCTTCAGCCTTCACCAGCATTCATGGCATCACCAAAAACATTCAGTCTTCCCTTAAAAATTCTGTAAATGCTCCTTCAGCTGGGAGAGTAGAATTGCTGAGAACTTTATCATGTTTCTTTTATTTCTCTCTGCAAATACATTAATGCAGCTGCCTAGTGTGATATCCTCTGTCACATTTTGCGGGTTCATTTTGGAAGCAAGGTACTGATCTGCTTTTCCTTATAGCAACTGTTTTGGTGGCAAGAGATCCTTTCCCTGCTGAAGTCCCAGCACCCTCTAGATCTGTGCTTCCACTCACCATTTCCAAAGCTGATAATTTCCAGTGCTAATTGTTGCCCTTTTTTTCAGTGCAGTGTTAACCCTTTCATTGCCCTCTTTACCTAGAGGTCTCCTCTGCCATTTAACAGTTCTCACTGCCCATCGATTACCCATCATTGTCCTTTCAATTATAATTTTATGATTTACTAACAACTTCCAATTCTGATGGTCCTAAGCTCCCTTTGGCTGCGAGAACTGATAAAGAGGGATAGAAGCCTTGTTTTCTTCCATTTAGCTGCATTCATTTTAGGTGAAACATGCATGAAAAAGACAAATGCCACATTTTCTATTACAGATACTAGTTATTTCCTCCTTAGTCTTTCCTTTTAAATATCATCATCAGAAGTGATGCACTTCAGCTCTTTTAGGCATACTTTGATGATATTGCATTATGCAGTTTATGGAAAAATCAAATGACAGTTTTTATTTCAGCAGCACTTTGCTATTTCCCCACTAAAAAGCAACATTTAATTTTTGAGTTGCACATTTGCAGCAGTGGTTGTGGGCGGAGAGTCTGCTTATTTATTTGGTTGGGTTTTACTAGAATGTACTGTCATGGCAACTGCTCTAAGGGTGAGTGCATCTGGAGGTAATTCGTACGCATCATGTTGAATGCAGCAGAATTGCCTTGTTCCATTTAAACTTTTTCAACCACTGGGCAAGGGCAAAGTTACTCCTTTGAGACTCCAAAGCAGCTTCTCCTTACTAAACAAACAAATACATAAACAAACTTGGCAGAGCACTAGGAGCAATGCCAAATATTTCTTGATGTTTGGATGCAGAGTCTGCTGCACAGTTAATTTAGGTCCAATACCTTGGGTGTTTTCCCCAGTTCTGCTGATGCACAGAAAGCTTTCCATCCTGCTCATGGGGAGGCAGAACATTCTGCCCTGCCCTGCTGTTTGGGCAGGCCTTGGCCAGACTGGTCTCCCTCGGCTCCAGGAGGCATTGCCACGTTCTGCCCAGTCAAATGCCAGATCCTCTCATCCTGGCAATGATGTGGCCTCCAGATGTTCCATTTTACATCACTGCAAGCATGGAGAAACTATCAAAATCCACTGACCAGCCACACAAGTGGTGTTAAAAGGGACTAAATTGGGCCAGTGATGCAGTTTCAAGCATAACATGCCTGACCTTTGCTACATGGTCCTGAAGGCCCTTCTCCAGCCAGAGAGCTCCAGCTGTCCCAGCATGGCCTCTCCAACACCAGCAACAAGGACTCATCTGAGAACTTGGGCCTGAAGCATCTCTCTCGGTGAATAAACTAAAAGAGCTGTGAAACCCTGAATTACAGATGGGCGGAAATGACTGCAAATCTGATATATTTATCTACTCTTATCTTTCTGCTGCGGGGGGGTGGGGAAATCTTAAACCTTTTGAACTCGTGTGTGACCGCAGCCATTGCCATCTCACACCGAGGGCTTGCTGCAGCTTCCCTGGGCAGGGCTGCCTCGGGCAGCGTGGGCAGCTGCCCTGCGGAGCCAGCCTCGCCTCGAGGATCTGCACCGAGCACGGGCGCCCCAGTCCGAGCCTCAGCTGCCTGGTGCCTGCACTCTGCTTGCTTTCAGATCACACAGCTCCACTGGGAACTGCTCAAGTTTACGGCAGCCCCGTGGCAGGAACGAGTAGTGAATGAAATCCCACCTGTGCTCATAGACAGTATTTCTTCGGATGAATTAGTGCAGTAACATCCTGCAGGATCTAATTATGGCTAATTTTCCATTCATTTGTCTCAGTACATCTGACCCTTTTACTGCAATTCTTGAGCACTCACAACATTGATCAGAGATTTAACTCTAAGGGTCAGCTCTTTAGCTGGTGTAAATCAATGCATTTTCTTTGGCTTTGGAGCAGATCCGAAGGGAGGTGTGTAACTTCTGCTGCAGAGAGAGCAGTCAGAATTCACTGAAGATGCTGCAGCCTGGCAGTGCTTTGCACCTGCTTGTGCTCACCAGCCCTTGGAGAAAGAGTAGCAATCAGCACATTGAATACTTCTGGATATTACTCAGTCCTCTACAATTAAAATCAGCATTCATGTACTTAAAAAAAAATACCAGTAATAAAAGTACATAAATCAGGTCTTCAAGATCACCTGCATTGTAAGATGAAAGACAGAGACTCCTGGCTTGTGACAGCCTCATTTAGGAATTGAGGCTAAAAGGTCACACAGAAGGAATTCAGGCTCAACTGACAAAAGATTTAACTGAGCCTTAATTTATTTTTGTCCTAGAAGTTTTGGATCTTTGGTTTGGTTGCTACCTAAGACAGAAAGAATTTGCATAACCAAATGAAAAGGAGAATTGGTGGAGACTAAATTGGTAACATTTCTTTAATAAAGCAGCATAAATGAGCATCCATGAAACTTTCAATCAACAACTGAAACAAGAAACAGTGAGCACATGTTCATCGCCAGGACTGTGAATTTCAGGAGTGTGCCCCAACTGCAAGCTAAGCAAAAGTCATAATATTTTCTTTTCTGGAAAACACTGCATCTTTTCTCAACACTTGCCTGGCTCCACAGAGAAAGGATAGACTGGGAAAAAAAGGAATTTATGGGGAGATGCCAGCTTTTATTTGCCACGGGAGGTTAAAGGTTCCCCAGAGTACAAAGGAGCTTTTCTTGCCCAGACAATCCCATCGTGGTACACATCAGCACAACTAAAGCTGCAAAGCTTAGCAACAGTCAAGAGAGATCTGCTGAATTTGAGCTGAAATTTTTTCAAACATCCACTAGTTTTTCTCCACACACATTCCCACATCAACAGTTGGCAATATGAATTCACTAAAAAAAATATAGTGGGATCTCTGGTTTCTGTTAAAGCAACACACACAGAACCTCCAAATATCCTTCCAACATAAAGCCCAACTTCTTTGTGCTGCACAGAGATTAATAATTATTATCTTATCTATTGTGAGTTGATGCAATTTCTTTTTTCCTCCCACACACCCACACTTCTGTTTCCTTCTGATCTTCATTTGTAGCTGAGCTACTGTTTAGCTGAAAGGAAGGAATTTGGTAATACCTCCCTAAAAAGATGCCTGTGACAAAGGATGGAGATGTTGGCTATTGATAAAAGAAAATAAAGAACTTATTTTCCAAACATCCCAAGAGAAATAACCTCATCATTAAGGTATTTCTTGTGCATTCCAAGTTAAAAGGAAAAAAAAGAAAAAAGTCTGAAGATCTGAAACTCGCTTGAGCTCAATCTATCGTTCTCATTTGACTGTAGTTCTTAACGTGCATAATTATAAGCAACAGAAGGAGAAATGCTCAGATAAAGCCAAAAGAGGTGGGTGGGGGAAAGTCACCCTGATGGTGGATGTTTTCAGTTTGGATGTGAACCAGCCTTACACCCCTTGGTCTTTCAGGTTCCAGCATCGGCCGTTGGGCAGCTCGGCAGGGCACGATGAAGGCCTCGGCCCGGGAGCCCGCGGAGCCCCTGGGCCAGCCAGGCGCCTGAGGCTGGCAGCAGTGCCACGCCAGCCTGGCCGCTGCTGCACACCCCTGGGAGAAGCTTTCCATCAGGAGCGGGCACCGAAGTGATGGGCTGAACTTATGGGAGGAATGAGTGTCTGGCCAGGCGAAGATCTGGAGGCCTGTTGGGAAGCGTGAAGGGCCAGTTTCAGTAAGGGCATGGCCAAAGCTTTCTTCAGGCTACAGAAGTTTCTCCGTCGGATCCAGTTTCTGCTCTTCTTCCTCACAGCAGCTTACCTGATGGCTGGCAGCCTCCTGCTACTGCAGCGGACCCGCTTGGTTCTCCAGCAAGGTTCGCGTGGGACCCCCAGTAACCAGGCCCTGCCGGTGCCCGAGGAGGTGAGCAGGGTTGGGGTCGCCGAGCCCCGGAGCCCGCAGAGCCCCCGGCCCGGCCCCAGGCTGCTGGTGGGCATGGATGCGCTGCAGGAGCCGGCCCCGGACCAGCGGCACAGCCCGCACTGGCTCGCGTCCCGCAACTCGGAGCTCAGGCAGCTGAGGAGAAGGTGGTTCCACAGGCTCAGCAGCGAGCAGGAGCCCCTGCAGACAGCAGGATTTAAAGCAGTGAAGCGCACTGCCGAGCACAAAGGTAAGGGACGGGCCCTGCCCGTTTTCTGGCTGCGCTCTGCTGATCCCGAGCAGACACAGGCGAGCACCTGCGGCTCTGCCTTCCTCCTTGCTCATCACCACTTTCAAAACTGTTCTTAGCATATGCCCAGGCCAAAGCACAAAGGATCCATGCTGGGTGACTGCTGTGCTCCCACTGCAGCAGCAAAGTATGAGCTGTAATCTTTGATGCTTTGCCTTTTAGAAGAACTTGTTGTTCTTAGAGATGTTTCACTGGTAATAAAACAGGAATGGGATCTGGATGACTAGACACCACATTTCAGAACTGTGTTTTAGTTTGTTGAATAAATTTGCCCAAACAAAAGGGCACAAAATCCCACAAAATGGGTGCCACATCGTGCTACTTACTGAGGGAATTGTCAGAAATGGGAATGAGAAGGTGATAGTGGTGGGAGATGAGTCATACAGTGTGAGTCAGGCAAACTGAACTGCTGGAGTTACCTGAAGCTCCAAGGTGCTCCACAGATGCTTCAGAACACCCTGTTGGTGGCAGATTTTGGTGACAGAGGAGAGACTGAGAACTGCTCAGCCAGGGCCTTGCTGAGGTTCTAGCTACTGATGAGAGGGGCCAGGAGAACTATTTATGTGTATGTCTCACCATATTGAACTGTAGACTCAAATATACATAATTTGAATATCTGATTGAACATGAAAGGGGCATTATTAATAACAATATTGTTAACAAGCACTGGAATGCCTTTGAAGGTAATTAATTAAAACTTAACTACCTACGTAGAGCATGTTATCTTCTCCAATTCATTTCTAGTAAACTTAGAGGCTTGTTATTTCATTATGGATCCCTTTCAAGACCTAATGAACTCCTCCGTGCTTATAATGCTTGATGATGTTTCAGTGGTGCCCTGTGGTTCTGCTTAGCAGAGCAGCATTGTCTGGCCACGGAGGCTGGGCTCATGCACCCCTCATGGGTGTCACCCTCATACGGCTGTGGCTCCCAGGCAGTACAGCTCTGCCCTGGGGAGCAGAACCCTTAACCCAAGCCACAAACGATGGCATGTCCCCAGCCTGTTGTGAACCTCCCGGCTCGCTTTGCCTCGCTCTGCCTCCACCCAGCAGCACGTGGCCTTTGGTGAGAGAATCCAAGTCCTTTTTTTCCTCCAGGTCAGGCTATCTCACCTGCTGACATTGCAAGTGGCTCAGGGTAGGGACCACACTTTTCCTGACAGAGACACTGAGAAATACTGTTAGCACAGCTGTGAGATTGCTCCCAGTGGATGGAGTTTTCCAGTTCCCCATGCCTGGTTCTGCCGTTGAGCAGGGTGCAGAGGTGACAGGGGCTGTATGGCTGACATGACGTGACGTGCTGCTCTGAGACTGTGGCACCTCCGTGACTCAGTCGTGGCAGGATGTGGGTGAGAAGCTGCTGCCAGGCTGGCCGTGGCTTGGGAGGGACACGGGGAGGAGAGCACACGGTGGCTGGTCTGCCCAGGACCCCCAGGCTCTTTGGCCCCACATCCTCAGTTTTCTGCTGCTACAGGTTTGAGTCAAAGTACTCAAATCAAAAGTCTCCAGTAAAATGTGGAGCACCTTTGTTGCAAGTGTGTGACTCCCACCTCGTTAATGGTGCGCTGGGGGTGTGTATTCACAGCTTGTGAATTTTCTAATTACACATTGGCAAATTACTGTGTGCAGGTCTTTGAATCTACTGTTGTGTTTGTGATATTTAAATGTTTGAGTTATTATTCCTGGCTCCAAAATCCCTGACGGAGCAACTCAAACTTCCTTTTTCTTGTGGATTAGTTAATATAATGTTTTTTATTTTAATTTTTCACCATATATTCTTTTCCTATCCACATTATTTAATGTGTGCTTACATTATTTAATTTCCCTGTGTTATCATCTCAGTGTTATTTCTAAAATAAAATTTCCTTTTTTCCTTCATATTTTGATGATAAAATGTACTTATAGACTTACAACTGCTGTATAATAGTGGGACTCCACATCATCGTTCCAACTGTATATTAAAAAACGGGTTGGATTTTTAGAGTATTTTGTTCATGACAACAAAAATTAGGCTGAGCACTGAATGCAGTCTAAGAGAAACATTTGTCTTTCCTATGCTAAGTAAAGCAAGACATATTTGAAGAGATTCTTTTGCACCAGAGAGGAGATAGCTCAGTGTGATGGCTACATTGTGCTGCCTAGTTAAAAGTGAATTTATCTTTCCATTACAGTTTTAATGTAACTCTCTATATCCAAAGAAAATTGATTTTCTTAATATTTCTCTTGCACCATCTCATTATCAACTAGAGATTTTAAAGAACACTTGGGAGAAATCCAACAGGATTTCTGGAAGTTTTTAGCATTTGAAGGCTACATTCTCCTGTACTTTAGAGAAGCGCTGTGTTTTGTCACCCAAAGGAGGGAGCTGAGCAGACAGCAGCTGCAGTCCTGGTGGGCTGTGGAAGGGAAAGTCTCGTTTCCTTTTTTCCCGTTTCCACGGGACAGTGGCACTGGCCCCTTTCCAAGGTTCAGCAGCAATGGAGAGTCTGCAGAGGGGTGGGACCCCAGCCAGGCTGGGGCTTGACCAAACGCAGCCTGCTTGCAGCGGGAGGCACTGGATAAGCTTGGGATGGATTCTTCCCTTCTGTCCCAGGTACACTGCCTAACCCTGGTCTTGCATGCACACAGGCACCTACATGGGCTGCTTCACTCACGATTCCAGGGAGAGGACACTGAAGGGAGCTGTCTTTTACGACTTAAGAAAAATGACAGTAGCTCACTGTCAGGAAGCTTGTGCTGAGAGGTGAGTGGTGTTTTTTCATTGCAAGTTTTCTCTTTTTTGACAATAAGCGGAACTGAATTTGAAATGGGAAAAGCATTCCTATGTTAAACACACAGCATCTATGAAAACAGTGATTATCTCATACCTTCAGGCACAGCATAGCTCTGCTTGAAGCAGACTGCTGCACTGCTGTCTATTCTCTATGGCACCACGGCTACTTACATTATATTCTCTATTGTCCTGGACAGAAGTGACTGTTTGGTTAAACAGTCCTTGTAAGATATCTATCTTTTGTTAGACATTGGTCTCTAGCCCGTAGCTCGTTGAGGGGCTGCCCCTGCTGAGGAGGCCACGCTGACTCCAGGATGGACTCAGCCCCAGAGCAAGGCAGCAGGAGCACAGGGGACGTGGGGACGGGCTCGTCCCTCCCTCAGGTACAAAGGCCCCTCTGTGACAGGGCTGTACTTCTGCTTGCAGGGCTTACAGCTACGCGGGCCTGGCCTCCGGAGCAGAGTGCTACTGCGGGAACTCGCTGCCGGCCGCGGCCGCCCAGCCCCAGGAGTGCAACAGCGAGTGCAAGGGGCAGAGGGGCTCCGTGTGCGGGGGGCTGGACCGGCTCTCGGTCTACAGCCTGGAGCAGCTGCGGGCAGCAGCCCGGCCACGTAAGTGCGGTGTGACCGGGCATGGGAGGCCACACGGAGAGATGCCACGGCCAGGCCGAGCACGGCGGCTGTCCCTGCTGCTTGTCTCGCTCCGTTTGCCACCAGAGTTTGAAGCAGCAAAGGACAAAGCTGCCTGAAGGGCACCATGTCCATTTGCTGCTGGTCTGGTCCCTGGCTCCTCCCCAGAATAGCAGTGCTGCTCACCCCCCCAGAGCGGGGACATGTGCCTGGCACGCTGCCTCGGGGCTGGGTTCCTGTCACCAGGGAGGAAACTCAACACAGTGCAGAGTGACTGCAACAGGAACGCAATTTCAGCTGAAAAAACACTCCCTTTGGTAGCTACCGAAGGGGTACCAACCCACGTGTGTTTAAGAAATAGCCTTGGAAGAAGTGCCCTGTAACAGGAGGGCAGAAAAGGACTCAGATCAAGGCCACCCTATGCTCATATGATGCTAAACAAAATGAGTAATCTGTGACTGCGAGGAATAAGTGGAGGCCAGAAAGAGCCACATCAATCCCTTTCCTGAGAGAAATGAGACCAGAGTTTTGCTTTTCCATGGAGTTCTGTTTCAGCAGGAGTTGGGAATTTTGTTCCATCTTTAGATAGTCCATCGTTACCCCATCGTTCAGTTAGCTGCCATGGGGGACTCTGTGGATAAACCTTTAGGCAAACACAAAGCACATAAGAGATCTAAACTGCTGATCACTCTTTGCAATTGGCAAGCTCACAAGACTTTATGGATATTATTTGCTGAGAAGACACACCAAGACCTTAGGTTGTGCCAGTATCGATGGTCCTTCATTTCTTCTTAAAGACAAGTCAAAGTTTGTACAATAATCCAACCAGCTACATATAAATTATATATCAGAGGTACACAGACCTAAATTGCTACTGTCAGGCTGACAGGCATGTTGGCAGGTTTCCCAGGACATGCATCGCTGTTTAAACCCCCAGCATGAAATATATATACACATTCCTCAGGAAAAGACAGCATTTAATTTTTTTTAAAGTATTAATGAATTACTCCTCAAATTAGTCTAGCCTGAAGCTAGAGCTGTAATTTTCTTGCCCTTAGTAATACCTGATAGTTGTCTGTTTGAAGAATCCCCCTGACACAAACCAGCTGAGGGGCCAACAGAAGTATTAATCATAACGAACGAGTATGTTAGAAAGTAACTCTGAGACTGTAAAGGCTCCCATGATTTACACTGTGTACTGTAGAGCACAGACCTCACATAAGTCTTTTACACGGAGCAGATTCTGTGGCATCTCCACCTAAACACTCCCAGAGAGGGTTTGCTCTCTCCCCTCTCCGCACCGTGGTTCCCCGACTCCTGCCCCCATGTCATGGTAAGGAAGCCCATGGTGTGCAGCTGCGGCAGCCAGGGTGGCTGTGGCACCCGAGTCCTTCCCCCCAAAAAGCGGGCAGACCACAGACACCCAGCTGTTTCCAGTGTAATCCACAGATCCATCCTGCTCCCTCCTGATGCTGGTGTAGGCAGGTCAAGCTTTCTTTCTGACTGCTGAGAAAACTCTAAACATGTTTGCAAACATTTGTTTCAGGAATATATATATATATATATATATATATACACATCAGTGTGAGATTTAGCAGAAGACCTTTCAAGAACATCCTGAGAAGTCCAAACACTCCTTTTATTCTTTGGTGCCATGCTCAAAGGGACCTAGTCCTAAGTAGATTCCTGTTTCTTTCAGCTTGGGTGGAGTTATTTTATTTTCACATCACCTGAGTCATCCCAGAGATCCAGCTCTGCTTCTAGTAAATGGTCTGAATAGTTACAAGAACAAAATTTAAGCAGCTTCTCCTTAGATTGCTCTAGGCTCTTGCTAGAGAGTCTGGGCTTTTCTGCCAAGAAATTCATGCAGAACCAATTTTTTTTTTTTCCCGTAACTGCACCACGTCTCTCCTGTCATTCAACTCACTTCCCACATCAGTTCTGGCAATACTGTCTAAGGGAGCAATAGTGCCAGGCTCTGTGGTGTTTCCACAGAAGAGATGGAATCAGAGGCTGGTGCTGAAGACACAGAGGAAGCTGATCTCCCTGAGCAGCTGACAAAAGCCAGGGTTAGAGTCTGAAGGGCTGCAGCCAACTCCCTTGGCCCGAAAAGGCGTGGGAGCAGAGGGGCAGCTGAAGAGGAAGGTGGGTCTGATGGAAGGGTTTTCAGGAGTCATTCTGATGCAGAAGAAGCTTTGTAGATTTTTATTAGGGCTTTTAACTCATTGTGGGGAAAGCAGGCCTTCAGAGGAAACTGGGACCTGCAAACAATAGCGATGCCCTCCTCTGGTGGAATTTCACTCCAACTCGGCGCTGCAGCGCTGCTTCCCGTGGTTAGTACAAAGATAAAGGCATGTGCTCCCTTCAATACCACACGATTTGCAACACGTTTTTGTAGCATACATTACAGTTTCTCTTATTTCTGCAGCCTTTGTAATATAAAATTTATTATTTTTTGCTTCTGAACCTAATATTATTCTTTGTGAAAGAGGCGGGATACTACGGACATTGTTTTCTTAAGAGAAACCTATTTCATATCCCCGCAGGGAGGAATGTTATCTATCGAGGATGTTTTAGAGCTCCAGAAAATTTAACAGACACCTTTCCAGCCTCTTTGATACAGCCCAATTTGACGGTGGAGATGTGCTCTGAATTTTGCTCCAAGAAAGTAAGAACAGTTCTCATTTCACATCCTTTCTTTTATTGTTATTTTAAATTCTAATCTACTGAGGGGAGGACAGAGATTAGTGCCTTAGAGCTTTGAATTTGCAAATGAGTTTCTAAAGGACAAAACTCATCAGAGTAAATACCCAGTGATGCATCTGGTCCAACTGCTGCAGTGGGGATGGCGGGAGGGAAAGTCATCAGAGTGGTGCCACCAGACATGATACACAGGCAAGCTGCTCTAAGTAATGAGTATCGACCGAGAGGAAATCGATACCGTTTCCGTGTCACATTCCAATCAAGCCCTGAGCCACATCTGCCCCCGCTGCAGCTCATGGGAGACATGCAGCCAGAGGGTGATGTGGGCTGGCAGCACCCCAAACGGGGCTCCAAGGGAGCCGGCTCTGCTCAGGGAGCCACGCACAGGGCACCAGGGCACCCTCTGCCTCAGTGGCTGTTGGTTCCCTTCCCTTCCTCCCCACTCTGATGGGGCTGGGTTTCTCTACATGGGGTTCACTAAATGGTCAGATTTTGCCGGCAGCCACATTCAGCCTCATGCACTAAACTCAACATTCAATTACTTTTTGCAGCATCACTAAATTGATTAAAACTATTAGCTGGCTGATTACAGTGCTTTGAACAGGACCCGTGGCCTGACTGCAATCTCCTCTCCCACAGAATAGGCAAATAGCCTCAAGTTGCACCAGGGGAGGTTTAGATTGGATATTAGAAAAATTTTGAGATTTCTCATGCAAAACCCACTCCAGATTTCTCTCCTTCCTCACTCATGTGCTGCCCAAGCCACGGGAAGGTTGTGCAGGTGAGGGTCAGCCTGCCCTGGGGACAGACACTGCACCACTGGCACCCTGCACTGACCACCTTCTGAAGATGCAGGAGGACAGAGGAGCAGTTATTCTGTTGCCTCACAGAACCTCCAGCCTTCCAGAAAAATGCATCACTTGCAGAGGCCACTTGGCATGAGGTACAAGGAACACTCTTATTCTAGGCTGTGTTTGAGGGCAGGGATACTTACTAATTTCTCAAACTGAGAAACACTGCTTCATTGTAAAGGAAAAAATTCTGTTTGCAGGCAAACCCAGAACTGTTTTGCCCTTGGATCAAATCTGTAAATAGTTTTTGACAATGTCATATCTCATTCGCTAAGTAAATGTTGGCTGTTGGGCACACACAGCACATGAGTTGCATTCGACTCCTTATCAGAGGATGAATGCATGGGAAGAGCAAGAGATAAGCTGCTCAGCAGTCCTGTCACATGCTTCCAGATTCCAAAAGACGTTTAAAAGGCAAAAAGTGTTGATATGGAATAGATGGACTGGAACGTTCTGCACTCAAATACTCCCTGAACTTCCTTCAGCCCGCCCACACAGCCCCGCGCCACCCAGAGAGCCCACGGGGGACTCTAAAGCAACCCAAATCTTTCTGGTAAACAGTAGAAAATCTGAATTTTAGGGCCAGTAAGCAACTGCTAATTTCTTCAGCAAATATTTAGCACATTTCCCTCAAACTTGTTTTAATTTTTACCATTATTAGCCCAGCAGCTGGGGTTCAGTACCCCACCACTACACAGCTTTGCAGCCTGTTACCCTTTCTTGGTAATATTGGTACACCAAAAACTGAATTACTCTGCGTCAAATCCATTAAAAAACACTTCTTACAGACAAGAATTTTCCTTAGGAATTTACTCCTTGCAAGCAACACTAACTTCCTCATGATTGCACACCTTAGTAAGCTTCCTATCTAGAAGCAAGGTGAATTTCAAACTTTACAAATACGAAGAGAGTAACAGGAAAGTAGCAGGAGCTTTAGAATGACAACGCTTTGATCTTGACAGTGAATCTTTATCTTGGCGTCGTGAAGATTTATTTTCTTTGCATGGCAGCAGCATTCCCTGCAGGCTGCTGATGCCACGGCACGTGCGCTGCGATGTGCTTTCCCTCTTTGGCAGGAGTTCCCGCTGGCAGTGATCCGAGGGCAGGAGTGCTACTGTGGGTACCCCACCAGGCGCTTCTCGCTGCACGAGGGCACGGACGGGCGGCGCTGCAGCGGGAGCCGCAACGCCAGCAGCGCTGCTGGGGGAGAGTACTGCCTGGTCTACCAGACACCCGTGCAAGGTACGCGCTCCAGCCGCGCTCTGCCAGGGCCACCGCTGCTGCAAACAGCCCCCGGGCCCCCAGGGTAAAGGTGATCTCGTTTGCAGCAGTCTGAGCCACAGTAGTGGGTATCACCACATGGGCAGCAGTTTAGGAACAGTCTTTCTCTAAATTCCCCTCTTGCAATCATGCTCGTGAAGATGCATCTTTCCATTCTGCCATTACGCAACACCTTTTAAGACAACTCGCTGGCAAGTACAATGGTTTGTTGCAGCTTTATCAAAAAAGCATTGCTTTACACAAAACCAGCAGAAACCTCTTTGAGGATAATATCTTTGGCCTCGTACAGCTGAATTAATTTTAGGAAGTAGCTGACTCACAACCAGACCAAATTGATATGCTATACTACTAAGAGAGAGAAGGAGGAAGGAATAAACTGTAATCAAGAGCTGTCTGTGGAATTATTAAAAAGCCACAATACTAACAATGAAGTATCTTCTCTCCTCACAGACACCCGCTGCACGGATAGGAAATTCTTAACCACCAAATCCAAAGTGTTTGTTGCTTTGTCAAGCTTTCCTGGGGCTGGGAATACGTGGGCACGCCATCTGATAGAGCACGCCACAGGATACTACACAGGAAGTTATTACTTTGATGGAGCCCTCTACAACAAAGGTATGGGGTCCCAGGAGATGGGACACAGGCAGCCTTCCCAAAGCACAGAGCTTTACTTACTGCCCTGTCATCCTTCTGCTCGAGCCAGCAATGGCTGTTGCTGTCGGCACGTTTGGTACAATTGAAACACGCCTGGGCCGAGCAGCCTCCCGCAGTGCAGATGGCAGCAGGGACAGCTCCAGCAGCACGCTGCTCTGGCACGCAGCTGCCCTCACAGACAGCAGCCAGGCTCTCCATTTGCCAACGGGCACGCTGCCTGCACTGGTGCCCCCTGCACACACACATGTGCTGCTCCCACCTGACAGGCTGGTCCAAAAGAGCAGCTACCTAAACACTGTGGGTAAGACCCGTCAGCAAACATGTAGGTTAAATTTTCAAACATTTCTAATTACTCTGGGAGAACAGTATCCTGAGGCAACAGAGGTTCAGCAAGCACCAAGCACTGGCCCTGTGAAAAGCTGCTTCATTGCAGTGTGGATGAGGATGAGGATGAGGATGAGGATGAGGATGAGGATGAGGATGAGGATGAGGATGAGGATGCCTCCCCCAGCAGAGGGATAGCCTGGCTGCCAGCACATGCCCAGCGTGGTGGCTGGGCTCCAGCCATGCTTCAGCTGATTGGTACTGTCACACCAGCTTTACACCACTGTAGGGAACAATTTAGTGGGAAAAGGCACAGACATATAATCAGGCAAAAAAGTCAACAATCCTATCTTGTAAAACAGGTTTTAAAGGAGAGAAAGACCACTGGAGAAGTAGAAGGACCATCTGTGTGAAAACACATGAAAGTGGCAAGACAGAGATTGAAATGTTCGACTCGGCGATCCTGTTGATAAGGAACCCGTACAAATCACTGATGGCAGAGTTCAACAGAAAATACGCCGGGCACCTGGGCTATGCCACTGACCGCAACTGGAAGAGCAAAGGTGAGCATTACCCCAACACAGACTGGTTTGAAAGCCATCTCCTCAGTGTGCTGGGAAGGGGGGACACACTAGGACCTGAGTGAGTGCTGCTAACAAATTCAGTGGGACTTAAGTCCTGCCACAGCTGAGATCAACCCCAAAACCTCTGACACCTGCACAGTGGGAGCAGTTGTGGTCTTGCTGTATGTCCACCCCCAGAGGGGAGGGGAGAGCAGCAGCATTGCCACAGGCACACGGGAGCATCACTGCACTGCTGGGCATAGAAAACATGTCCATGTACAAGACTCCTCTGCACAGCCCATTTGCTAGGCTGAGGTGAAGAAAATTTGCCCCTACAGCATGTAATAACCATGAGAAATCTAACTTAAGGTCTGGAGGATCCAACGGAGCATGACATTTCATGATGGATATTTTACAGCACTGCACAGGTGCTACTGCATTGCAGAAAAATAAGGATAACAGCAATAAGTGGACCTGAAATTCAGTGTCCCCTGAACACATGAAAAGGCTTCAGAACCTGCCTGCCACACTTCACGTGTTTGACTGGCAACTGGCTGGTGACTGCAATTTCCCCACTGCATACACTGCTGCATTCAGACTTTGCAGCAGAAAAACCATTTGGCTTCCATTTCTCCTTGTACATATTTTAGGCATTACAGCTGTGGCTTGGCAGAGGGCTGGGGGGAAAAGTGTCCTGTGTCACAGCACATTTCTTTCCCAGGCTGATGTATCACCTTTCAGCAGTCACAACTCAAGACCTATTCATCAAAAACTGACAAAATAGCCCCCAGAAAAAAGAAAAAGTCTGCTGGGGATGTCTTTCCCATACTGCAAACTGCAAATTGTTACATTTCAGCCACAAATGCTCTTTGTCCAGCCCAAAAGCTTTCACTAGGACTGTCTTGACTTCAGGAAATTAAATTATCAAAGAGAGCAAATAGAGATCAAGGTATCATTAATGTCTAAAGCAAAGGAAAATTGCTGACATGCAGCATGGCTAACAGTGTCTCATTTTCTGGTTTCCTGGCCATCCAGAGTGGCCGGATTTTGTGAACAGCTATGCCTCCTGGTGGGCCTCCCATGTCCTGGAGTGGCTGAAGTATGGGAAGCGCCTGCTCGTTGTGCATTATGAGGACCTGAAGCAGAGCCTCATCCCCAAGCTGAAGGAGATGGTGGAGTTTCTGAACGTGACAGTGACAGAGGACCGGCTGCTCTGTGTGGAGAACAACAGGGACGGGAATTTCAAGCGGTCTGGTGCTAAGCAAAAGAATTTTGAGCCATTCACCCAGGAAATGAAAGATCTTATCAACAGATACATCCTGACAGTGGATGAAGCCCTAAGGGGAAGAAACTTCTCAGGGCTGCCCAGAGAGTATGTGCCAAGATGATAGGCTGCTATCACACTACTGTGGTTAAAAAGGAAGGTTGTTTTGTTTTGTTTTTTTCTTAAAAAAATGGAAAAAAAAACCCAAACAAAAAAACCCACAAACAAACAAGAAGAAAAGCAAAAAAAGAAAAAAAAAATGAAAAAAAAACAATCAAAGAAGACCAGATCTCTTTAGCAGTTATGGCAAAGATACTTGTGGAGGCTGCTGAGCAGTGCAGCAGTTGGGAATGCTGGGTTTTGTCAGCCCCAGACAGCCCCAAACCTGGCTCCAGGGGCATGGAGGAGACCCCAGAGGGGTGGCAGAGAAGGGAGTGCCACCTGTGCTAGGGGCTTGACACAGGTTTCTGCACCTCCATCTCTTCATCTGGAGAGTCATGGTGGGTCTGGGGGGACACCAGGGCCAAATGTCACCACAGCTCTTGGTTCTAGAAATGGTCAGCTGGGAAGACCTGGAGAACAGGGGCAAAGGAGGCGAACCCCAGTCCTTCTGGCCCCAGCAGGGGTAGGATCGCACCTCCTACCTCATCCCTGAACCCCTGGAGGAATTCCAAGGCAGTCCAACCTGGAGAAACACAGCTACTTAGAGCTGCCCTCTGGAGCCCCCTCCAGCAGCCCTACAGGTTGGATTTTTAACTCCTGCGGTCACCTTGGGTGTGTTTGACCCTGCAGGTGGCCTGTGTGCAGTGGGGAGAGAACAGGGGCACCCAGGGCTGGCAGGGCAGCTGGCCCCATGATCCTGGGCCACTGGAGGTGGTTAATCCCAGTAGCCAAAGGGGCTGTCCTGCTGCAAGATGCTTCTGTTCACGCGAAGTAAAGGATTTCTTAAAAATTTGAGTGAAAATACTAATTTTAATAAAACAAGTTTATATAAAGGGAGCTGAACTTCCTCTGCCTGTGTATCACTGGTACCTTAAAAACAATACAGGACATGGAGTACCCTTCAACCCAAGTCTCTCCCTGTTTACACCCCACATGTGGCTCATCTCTGTGCCACCTGCCTGGTGTGGGGCTTGTTGTGGGGCTGTCACATCCCCATCCCTAACACTCAGCGCCTTCCTTGGCAGTAAAGGTCTCAAGGGCCACAAAGGTGTGAGGGATTGCGGTGGACTGAGCTGGTTCACAAGGAAAACAGGAATTCTTTTTGTTGATGCAAGGGGTACAGTTCAAAAAAACCAACTCAGTTTGGGTGCTGTAAGCCCAGATAAAGACAAGTGGTGAGACCTGAGGTGCCTGTGCAGGGGGGCACAGCCCTCCCTGGGACACCACGCAGCCCCCGTGCAGGAACACAGCTCACACACACCTGTACACCACAGAAAAAACCCAAATAATGCTGTGCCAGTACCAAACACCACAGGCAGTACAGAAACACCCGGGTACAGAAACTTTCCCATAAAGCAGAAAAATAAGGATGCTACAGAACAGGACTATCACCATCTCACTCTGATTTAGTAAAGAACTGATTATTTTGGAAATTATGCATTAAAGGTCTTCCAAGTTTCATTTGGGCAGCAGTTGCTGTTGAGGGATGTGGGTCACATCCCACAAAGTTTGAGCCCAGATTATGGAAGGAGCACAGATACTTCACAGAAAGAAATTCCTCTTAGCCTCACTGAATTATATGCCTGAGACCGCAAACCAGGATTTGGGCCCACCACAAAACATGAAGATTATGAGAATGACATTTTATTATATTGCCTTTCCAATCTTGTCTAGCATTACAGGATCATTTAAAAAACATTTTGATCATTTCAAACCTGCAAATGGTGAGCAAGGACTGGCTGTAAACTCTCAAGAAGGCAATTTAATTACACATATGTCCTGTAATGAAGACTCTAGGTGGCTAAAATTAGAGCTGGCAAAAATTATGAATATGCATTAGCTCTGTAATGCCAAAAATCAGCTCATTTAACAACAAAAAAATAATTTGTAGCCAGCCATTTCTTAACAGCTGAGACATAGGGGCTGCCTCTTTATTTTTTTACATTTTGTACAAAATATGTATGCACGGTTTATACATCATACATCTGTATGTACAGACACATGAGCGTATCACTTGCATGCTCTGTCAGGGTTCTTTTATGATCACAGGAATAGTGAAGGACTTCATGGGTCATTGTGTATGATCCACACCAACGGCCTGGACAGAGCATAGCTCACACTGTCCTTCCCTGCCACATCTTTTTTGATCAGTATTGTCTTTTAGCTGAAACAGCTCTTCATCTTTACCTTGAGATGTGTTCACAGATATTGATCACATCCTCTCTCAAGCTCAATCTTGCTAGGGCAAATATTTTGTGATCCTTTACCCAATTCCCCTGCAAGGCAGATTTTCCTCTCAATCATCTCTGTGCTTATTGCCCTTAGCTTTAATTAACCAGAATGTCTTAGTTAAAAAAAAAAAAAAAAAGGGGGAGCTATAATGCCACTGAAAGCCATGTTGATGTTCACTCCACATAGACTTGTTTTCTTATTTTCTATTCAAAATATTAGAAATGGAAGAAATATGCATACAATTCCCTCAAGCTTTTAGTTTTCCCTATTGAACTGCAGCTAAAAAGTGGGTAAACCATACAAGAAGAGAGGGCATAATGGGAGAGAAAGTGGTTTTTCTTCCTGGAAACCAACTACAAAATAAAGCCTTTAAAGCAATCCTAAAAAATCACAAATGTCATCATCAGCAGTTCTGTCTTTCGGCACTGCTTTATGAATTTTCCTTTAAGCACATTTCTTTTAAAATCCATTACTCACTGCTAAGACCAAGCTACAATACTACTGCAGCAATATTAACCTCTATGAAATAATTAAAGGATGGATTATCAGCATGAGACCTTACATGGCACCTTTTTGGAACCTAATGTGTGTTCCAATGGCCTGGATTATAATGAGATGTTCAAATATAAAACGTTGAGTTACCGCTTTTGTCAGTTGTGACATTTCTTCAGTCAGAAAGATCCAAATTCCCAGCTGCATTACTTACACCTTACTTTTGACCTTGGATGGTTGAGAGCAATCTTTAAGGAAGCTATCTCTTTAAATCTCCTTTTTATATTAGCATTTAATTATACTAACAAATTTCCTGATGTACAATTACAATGGACTGTAAATCAGCTCTTTCCCTTTGAACCATGATGTTGCATTTTTTAGCCTCCTGCGCACTCAGACCAGCAAACACATCCATCTCTCACATCCATCTCCTTCTATGTAGCACTTATTTATCTTCAGTGGCTGGCTCCCAGACCAGCAGCTTTTCCCATCACAGGACTCCACTCACCATCCACACACCCTGGTTCTTCAGACTGAGGGCCCTCAGGTTGCACCATCATATTCCATCATGCATACAAACAGAGTAATTCACAGAAAATGCTAAAATCTTATCAGCAAGTGTATCATTTCTAGACTTGGGGCATGATCACCACTAATGGCTGCATGGTTTTGACCGAGCTACCTGAAAGAGCAGCAAAGAGGAGAATGGCTTCTCTTAATCACATGAATCAGTGTCAAACAATCCCTCAAATGAAGACAAATACGATTGAAGTGCATTATTAAATGTTTTATGCAATAGTTGAGATGATGTGAAAGGCCCAAAGATTTTTAAATTAAATCAGCTCTGATTGAAGAAATGTGATCTCATCAATGCAGTCTCTCCCTGCCTTCTTACTGCAGAGCTGTGTCCTGCCCCTGCTCTTGGAGCCTGCTTGTCACACCCCTGCCTACAGGAGGGTGGTCTGCAGGTACCAGCTTGCCTCCTGCCCACCCTGGAGACACCAGGGTGCAGTTCAAGGCTCACCAAAGCCTTGGCTAGAGCTCCTTCAGGTGCAGGGAACAGCACCCAGCTGCCCACATGGCTCTTGCTGCTGTTGCCTTTCAGTGTGCCCAATGGAGAGCTCCAGGGTGTGCAGGGAGGAGAGGCTATGGAATCACAAGCTCTTAAAAGTACTGATAACAAAAATAATTTCCTCCTATGAACCACAGTGGAGAGACCTTTCCAGGTCCATTCTGCAGTGGTGGGGTGGGTTGGAAGCAAACTGCATTATCTGGAGCAGTTGCTGCAGTCACACAGTGGCTGGATTATGAGCACTTATCCTGAAGGCAAAGCAGACGATCACAGCCCTTGGATTTTTATATATGTCAGAAGCTGCATTAACCTATAATACTTCTGAAATAAAGCACTTAGTATCACCCTAGCAAAATTATACAGCTCATTTCATAGGGAAAAAAAGTTCAAGTCACAATAAATGAAAAACACAGAGAGAGAAGTGATTTAAAGGCAACACCTTGCTAATGACAAGAACATTTCTTTGACGAGTGAGGTTATAAAGGAGCAGTCTGGAGTACAACTGCATCTTTCATGAAGCATCAAATATGCTGGAAAATAAACCAAATCTTCCATGCTGACTTACCCTATTACAACGATGCTCTGGAAAATTGTCAAACACACACAAACAGGTGGAGAGCCCCGGGGCCTCTGCACTGCCTGGGGGGGCACAGGGCTGGGACCCCACCCTGCAGCAGGGAGGGCAGAGCTGGGACAACTCCCACCACCCAGGGGACAGGGCACAGCTGCACCTGAGCCACTGTGCTCTGGTGGAGGATTTCTGTTAAAAGAATGTGCAGAACATTTGTTTTCTTAGAAACACTCTTTTTTCCACAGTCACTCATTTAAATGGATTCCACTGTGCCTGTTTTACGCCTCTCTTTATTCCAACAGAGACTAAATTAAGCTTTGAAGTTTAGTGAGAAATCCTAATGGCATTCGACTTCAATGCTATTGCCTGAATCCTGGGGAATTTAAAGAAAGGGGGAGAGCAAGAGGAAAGAAACCACTCTTTCATTGTTTTCTACAGCTTGATCCTGAAATGGCTGACTTTGAAAATAACCTTAGTGCCTAACTTTATGCATTATTCATATATACTAAGACATGTAAATACAGTTTTCAAAGTTAAAATAAAACTCCTTTCCTGTGCAGGTTACAATTATTTAATATTTTGACACAGCAACTTACATAATTAATATTAAACAGCACATAGGGGGAAAACGTGATCTAAAACAAGCATGAACCTTTCTCATCAGTATGGAACATCTACACAATACCCAGAAAACAGTCAGACTACAAGCATGAATAAGGTCTTCCAAAAAGGAGGGAAGAATTAAGCATTTTAATTTTGCATAAAACTGTAGCTGCCACTTTGCCATTGACTAAGAATGAGGTCAGTCAAAATGTATATTTGCAAGGAATTTCTTGGCATGGTAACAGTCTTGGAGGATCAAATATTGGTGTTATTCCAGTTTTCAGGGTAATAATGGCCACGTAGTCAGAAATGGAAGACAAATTAAGGTGTATTCAATTACTACAACAATACATAGGATGCACCTAGAGTGTACCTTACACTGTGTGGGCTGATTTAAGCCTGTGCCCTCCCCACGGCCGAACTTCTGAATAGCTGTGAGCCACAGGATAGCCCAGAGATGCAAATTCTGTGCTCTTTGGGCAGTGCTAAAAATATCATTTCACCCAGCACTGTCATGACTAAATTTCCTATCTGAAGGATGAAGGAGGCCTGGGCTTTAAGCAAGTGTTCACTTCTTGTAATGTTCATTCAGAAAGGGAGAGACAACAACTTCTGCCTGTGACAACTTCTTCCCAGCTACAAACAGGATTAGTCCTAATTGCCAGGGACAGAAATCCTGTTAGGCTATCCAGCCTGGCTCTTTGGTAACACAGGATTCTCCCCGGGGCCTCTAGGTTGTTATCTATAGCTTTGTTTAGTCTGTCTTCCAGTTTTGTGTTGATGCCCATTCCTCGTACCTGAGCACCTCTCCAGTTACTTACATTGCTGAGGAAGATCAATACATTTCATGGGCTCCTCAGTTCTCCA